GATCGGGGGTGGGTGCCGCGAAAAGAGAAAGAGGGAGATAGAGATGATAGAGAGAGACAGTGAGGAGGCAGGAAGAGAGATAAAGAGGAAGATGTGAGTGGTAAATAATTTTTAGGATTTGGGGGGTGAAATTTGTATATATAATATATAAATATAAAATATCTGATTTTAAAAATCTTAAACTTTCAATTTGATTTTAAAAGTTTAAAAATTTAAAGTATGATTTCATATAATTACCACTATAAACAAAGTCACAAAATCCATCCCGTGAGAGAGAAATCACACACTGAAAATGTGCTGCAACTCTGCTCTGACAATCCCCCCACCCGACCCATGCTTCTCCTTCTTGCCAACCCGACCCGACGTAATCTCCTTTCCAGTCTCGGTATCGTTCCGGGTCAGACACGTTTTCCCTCATGGACCATCCAAGTCCATCCCAGATGACACCGCTCAGCTCTCTGGCTCTGATCCTGCCTGTTTCTATGATTTACTGGGCATACCCGAGACTGGAACCCTATTGGAAATCAAACAAGCGTACAAGCAGCTAGCGCGGAAGTACCACCCGGATGTTTCGCCTCCGGATCGGGTCGAGGAGTATACCAAGAAATTTATACGGGTCCAGGAGGCATACAAAACGCTGTCGGATCCTAGGAGAAGAGCTCTGTATGATCGAGACATGGCTAAGGGAATCCACTTGGCTTTCTCTGCTCGTAGGCTTTTCGAATTCGATGAGGTTTGTGGTTTTTTTCCCGAATTTTTCGGTTTTGTTAATGTTTTGAAATTTTAATAATACTTGTGGTTCCTCCAAAATTTTTTTAGACTAGATCAGGGGATGCCCCAGACCATTTGTGTGGGGTCAACAATGAAAATTCAAAAATATTTAGAGCTACTTATCATTAAAAGAAAATAATGAACTATCCACTGATAAAGCCATTACTTACTGTGAGACTGAGTAACTTTACTACTTCATTACAATATTTCCAATTTCTCAAATCCAAACTAGTGAACTATCAACTACCAAATTTGAAATACATTTTAGAAATTAGAATTGAAAATTGGATTGAAGGCAAGGGACGAATTCACCGTGCGTAGGTAGAGTGCGTATGGGAAAATTAGGGATTTCAGATTTTTGAATGGGGGATATCAAAGTCACTGCCTTATGAGTCATGGTACATTAGTTGGGTTGGGTCAATCAATGAATTATGGATTAATGGGTTGGTGTAGAGTGTAATTGGATTTGGGCTTGTGAGTTGTGGATTGGGTTGCTCTTGGGTAATTGATAAGTGGTAAGTGTTAACGTAAAATGAAAAAAAACTCAAAAAAAAAAAAATTAAAATTGTGGGGTCATTTGACCCCACATGACCCCATGTGGGTCCGCCTCTGGACTAGATGGCTAACGTGATACTACTTATAGGCATAATAGCATATGTCATCTATTTATGAAAATTGTGCATGACGTAATATTTAAAATAAATACATGTTTCCCTCTTTGCGGCATGTTGAAAATATTATTTAAAATGGATACATGTCCTCGCTTGGTGTATTGACAAGGAATCTAGTGTCTTATCGAGAAATCCATATTATGTGTTTGTAGAGAATCTCGAATTGAGTTTGTTGTGATTTCTCCCCTGGTTTCAATTTAATATCCAGTTTGCTTGATTTTTGTGAATTAATGGGTGTTTGGAGCTGTACTTTAGATTGGCTCGTCTGAGTTTTTAAGTTTCTAAAGATCTCCAGTTCTTGTTATTCTTCCTGAGGCATCCAATTCGAGGTAGGTGAAGAACTCTGTCTTGTGAATGCTCTTTTGATTCTTTAGAGCTATACAGAATCTAATACCTTTAATTTCAATGGATTTCAAATCAAATGATGTTCTTCCCCACACACTGTTAATATTTGAAACACGTCGCTCTCAAGTTATACTCCAAACTAAGTCTGCAAGGAGGAGGTACAACCGCGAAATAGATGTTATTACATATAATATTTACATAATTGAGGAACTATGGATGATCTCAATACGAGGACAACTTGATTTCTTGTATCTTCAGACATTATTTATGGTTGAAAGTTTTACTTTGAGCGGTGCTAGTCACACTATAAATGGACTTTAGTGCTCTCCATTGTGTTTCTCAATAAACAAATACATTTGTCTATTTGTAAGAGAGGACAAAGAACAGTTGTTGTTTGCTTGATTTAGGATATCATGGATGGTAAATCATATGATTGTGGAAAGCTTTTCGTGGAGTGCCAATATTTTGTTCCTTAGTTATAATTCAGTTGTATGCTACTTGAGCTGATTTCTTATCTCTACATAGGCATGCTTTTAAGGATATTCACACAGAGGATAACTGGGCTTCTGATTTTGGTTAGTTAAATTGCATTTTCTCAATGTTATCTAAACCGTTCCGGAGCACACGGTTCAAGGACCGGGTCGGTTAACCTCAAAAAACCATTTAGAAGGAAACTGGCTTTAAAACCACAAAATCGATGTTTCCAAGGAAACCAATGAACCAGAGCTGATTTTCTCGGATTGGAAGGGTCAACTTTTGAACAAAATTACTCTAGGGATTTTCTACGCGTAGTTTTCACTGCACGACCATTATACCTATGACATGCAATTTTTTCGAGTAATACTATTTAGCCGCACTAGAGCTAGTGTAACATTAAATGATAAATACTATTAAATGAGTCATTTAATTTCTCCTTTCATTTAGCATATCACCTAACACCACATAGACAACATCACTCAATTTTCTAGCCATTAATTCTCTCATCCCAATCATAAAGTTTCGATGTGGGATTCTAAACTTTCAACCAAGCTTATATCTTGGATGTTATATTCCGTTTCTCAACATTTTCACTTTGTGGGAATTAGAAGGCTCTCTCTTTCATATTGATACCGTGTTAACGTTTTTGCATATTGGGAAAAAAACAGTTGTTCTCAATTAGTAGTATTCTCTAATTCTTGCTTACTATTTGAAAAATTATTTTTTTATTTATATTTTTTTAAACTACTGGTTCTACCATTTTACTCTTGACCCTTTTGTTTTTCCTAGTTGATGCCCAAACCAGTTTTTAAAACATTGCAATTTCTAGTTTTGGCTTCTTATCTTTCTAAGTTTTCTTCAGTTGTGCACTCAGCAAATGGAGGACAAAAGTGAATGGAAAAGCCGTTGGCAGTCACAACTTTCCCATCTCAAGAAAAGAAGCATGTACAAGGACTCTGGTGATAATATGTCTTGGGGAGCAAAAATGCGCAGGCAAAGGAATGAATCATCTTAAGAACTACTATGGCATACTTGATAAGGTAGAGATAATATATTGAACAGTATTAGCGAAGCAAAAATAAGTTAAAATTTGTTCTTTGTACTTTCCACTACCATCGAAAACTACGCACGAAAGACACCTAATGTTTTAGTTATGAATTATATAGCTTTACAGTTACATTCTTTTTGGAAGAAATAGAGTAGTGTAATAGAACTATATTATAGATTACCTTTGTATGCAGTCTATATATACCAAGCATATTATAGGCAAGATATATATAATTGTATATATACAAGGAATTAATGAGTTTACACTCTTTTTTGCATACTTGAGCTATTGGTTTTTGCTAAATGATTTTTAGTAGTATGAGATTGCGGATTTTTGTAGTCAAACCTAGATATCCATGCGATGGCCCAGGACGAGGGCACTACTTGTGATATTTTGATATGGGATGCATTTTGTTTGGCAATTTTTTGGATGTTAAATACTATTGGACGGGTTACTTTTCATTGGGATTTGAAACACATCACATCACATTACGGTACTGTAACGTTTCACAATTAGTTGGATCTTCCACTTACTTGATGGGTTGACTAAGAGATTATTTATGGTTAAATTCTTTAAAACTTATAGGGATATAATCCTTTTGGTATGAATGGCTTATCGGTTTTGGCATGGATGTTCTTATTTGGACATCTTGTTTGGGGCTACTGGATTTATGTTCTTTTTCCATTTGAATTTGATTATTTCTTGGAAATATTCTATATATTTTGACTGAGCTTGCTTGGTCTATTTATGCTTTCGGTTTTGCTTCTAGGTTTGTTATGGAACCTCCTCTCCTCTACTCTCGTCCATCTACTTATTTGTGAGTTGTAATTTGCAATTTGCAATTTGTGATGTGTTGATTGATGGACAAACTTGGATTTAGTATGCAATTTGTGTTTGGTTGAGGGGATGATTAATATGACCTGAAAAGTGAGTGGTTAAAATTTGGATTTCGGAGTGCAATGTGTTTGATTGATGGGAATTGAACTTCTAAATCCAAATTTTAGCCCAATTAAACCAGTTTGCTAGAAAAAAATTTGATGTGCTTGTTGACATCCTCTGGGACCCACGCGGGAACCATATGAATTAAAAATGACAAAAAAT